TATATATATATATATATATATATGTATATATATATTTTTATAATAATATATAATAAATTTGAAAAATGTATACAGTAATTGAGGGGATGGGCGGAATAAAGTCACAATTCTACTTAGGTCCTTTTTCCGACAATTATCTTTTTCATGTATTATTCATCTTAATAGAAAGTATTGTAACATGTAACTTTTTAAAGGCATTACATAAATTCATTTAATATGTGCTCATTTGTGTATAATAAAAAAGTAAAGCAAGTTATTTTAATTTTTATTAATATCAAAATTTTGTAATTAGTTTTTGTTACGCCCATGTTCTTAATTATAAAAGTAACTATTAAATTAATTAGTTATAGCTAAGTTACACTTAATATAGTATACTAAGTTATAATTACACTTTTATATATCTACACTGAGAAAAAAATATAATCAATTTTAATAAATATTTAGAGTTCAATACTGCCAACTAAACATTTACTTATAATAAAAAATATTTGTTCAGTAAAAAAAAAGATTGTTAAATCAAATTAATATTTCTTGTAGCAAATAAATATATGTTTATATTTAATAAATATTGAGTTGGCAGTATTCAACTAAATATTTATTAAAATTGATTATATTTTTTTCTCAGTGTAGATATATAAAAGTGTCACAACATGATTCTAACATAACTTTTATTAGGGTAATACTAATTTTTATCACATAAATAAAGTAATTTTTGTTAAAAGCCAATGTTTAAGCCATATTCTAACGTGAAAACAGTTAATTTTTACTGTGATACGCAAACAAAATTTGCTAGAAATATATTTTGTACTTATCTTTACAATACTAACTTTTATTCAACAATTTTTTTGATTTTGTAATAAAAAATTTTTACAATGAAAAAAATGTAAAATTTACGTTGCATTATTGTTTTAAAAAAAATAGCTATATATACATTTAAACTTATAATTGTCATGATAGTCCGCAGCTTCTACATCATTATAGTAATTTTAAGTACAAAATTTTCTCCGTGTGCAAAACGGGAATGCCAGTTATATACAGTTATATAGCTTAATATAAAATATTATGTAATAATTATTTTAATTTGCTGAATAATATTATTTTCTGAAACTATTGAATGTTTTATTATATGTAGTTTTATATGTAAAATAGTTTAAATACTATACAAATTAACATTATTATTGGTAATACAAATATAGAAATCTTAGAATTTTTGAAATGAGAATCTTGCATTTCATACAGATTTAATTCTTACAATACAACGATAATGCTCCAAACGCTTGGATTGATCCATTATTGTTTCCAATAAGTATTATACAGGGTGTTTGATGAGTAACGATAAATCTCTCGCATAGGAGTATAGCGGATTAAACTGAGTTGTAAAGTTCTCTACCACTTCGCAATTTTTGCAATAATTAACAAAATATCAATTACTTAAAAAATTATCAAATATTGATTTTTAATAATTTTTTATTCAAGTA